ATATATATATATATATATATATTTATTTATTTATTTATTTATCATCCTTCCTTGTTTTTGTACTTTCTCTATTCAAAACATACTTGTTCAGAACCTAATTTCCGAAAAAGCTATGATTTCACTAATTGGTAGAGATTAGTTTTCACAAACGGGGGATGTATGCGATCGAGAGTATTTTGGAATATTTTCTTACAAAAATATAAGGGGCGTTGAGAAAAATAGACCTGCAAATAGAATTTCCCATTATTAAATTAATCTAAATTAATTTAATCCAAAAATGTATTGTGTTTACCTGTAATTAATCGGTTCGGAGTTTCGGACAGGTCGGCATGCATTATCGAAATTAACAATCCTAAGTTTTATAGCAATCGTAATTAATTATTATTGTTTTAAGGTTAATCTATTTATGTGTTTTGATAATACTTTTTCTTATTCACTAATAAATTGACTAATTAAACCCATGCTTTTATAATCAATTCTGTCTCCTGATTAGATCGAGGTAAACGTCTACGAAAAGATCGCTTGAATTTAAGAAAGAGTCGCTTAGATTTTTTCATGGTTTGTATATTTCTGTTCAAAAAATTACATATATTACAAGAAAGTTTTTTATTTTTAATTTTTTTAATATATGTTATTTTTAAAAGATTAACTTAATATCATGTATCATATTTGAAGATCTTGCACTAGTGTCATTTATCACGTATGTTATTTTCATTAACGATTTCTCAAAGTTGCATCCTACACGAGGTAATAAACAACTAGCAATGTCCATAGTTATCATATGATGTAAATGAGATTGCAATCATATTTATAAAAATAAAAAAAAATCAATGCAATTAACAAATAAGTTTCACAGCAAGAAGTTTTTCTCGTATCAATGATAAAATAAGGTCCAACCGAATAGCAAATTAACCCGCTGTAATGGTTCCCAGCAGTAACTTACAATGTCGTCTCTTAAATTTAGAATGAACCAAACGAATCAAACAAGCAAATGATACCAAACAAAACCATCTTTTGAATAGGAAATTGAACAATTTTCCAAACAATATCAAGATGTCATAAAAGAACTGATCACACCTATTCATCATAGTGTTGCTCGTTAGTACAAAGAGAATATGCATGAAACACCCGGAAAAATAATCGGTAACATTAAGTTGATAATCAATTTTGATTATCAGACTATTTGAGTTTGTTTGACGAACATTATAATCAACTAAAATATAAAGAAGACATTTTCTTAGGGTTTCTCTCTCTTTAATTTTTTATTTTATTTTTTATTTTTATTTTGCTAATTTAAATATCTACGAATTTTTTAAAACATCGATCAACATCAATTAACACTAAAATAAAATAGATTTTTTTTATTCGTTTCTGGAGTATTAGGTTGAAGGCACTTCAAATGGTGCGATAGCTAGTCTCAAGATTTAACGTGGCTACATACATAAGGCAGGATTCAAACCCCTCACCTTGCTTAAGCGCGGATAAACTCCTACCACTGAACTACACGCTTGGTTAATAGATTGATTAAATCATTAATATTACACATTTGATTGATTTTAATTTCAAAATCAATTCTTGTGATTCTTAAGTTGATTTTAATTTGAAAAATAGTAGCATACACATCTTCAAACACAAATGCAAACATATATAGCAATGTTGATCATATATTTCCGCTTCCAATTTCCTTAACATTTGCCTTGTTGAATAAGAAAAACACATTCCCTCGTGTCAAGTTCATTGAATTAAAATTCCTTTTACACAAAAAAAAAAATGTTGGGCTCAACCGGAAGAGGATAAAAAGCTATACCTATTTGCCTTATTATTAAACAAACCATCTGGCAGCCTGTATCCTATAATTTCTTGGCCTTTTAGAGTTAATCAAATTGAAAACATTCTCATAATTTGGTTAGTTGTATACACTATTATCTAAAACAAAAAGACGTGAAAATACTTTTACAGTAGTGTTTTCTGGGAAAAAAAAATTAGAAGGGAATGCTACAAATATATTTTAGTTTAAACTCTACATAATAGAAGAGATAGACAACGATCATATATTTTTAAATTTATTTTCATAGCAAATGAATGCACCCAATCTACAAATATTCTATAGTTATGGAGATTGCAATTCATTCTACTAGAGGTATAATCAAAAATTGAAAGGCTTAATTAGAAAGAATATTAAAATATATAGAAGACGAGAAAATACTATTCCTACTTTTTTTTTTCTTCTGACGTCATTTCACATGATAGAATGAGAGAGGTGAAGAATGGTAGTGTAAATAAATTGGGAAAGATTAGAAAAAATCTTATTAGAGATAAAATTAAACCATCCAAGAGTCTTCACCTCTAACAAAACTTGGATTTTAGGGTCAATCCACCCCTAACAAACTAAGCTTTTAGAGTTGATCCTTGATATCATATGAAGTCTCAATGACTAAATAGTTAATAAAAGGTTAAATTTCGGCGTACTGTGTACAAGTTGAATATTGGCGTACCGTGTGGCTGGTCACTACTTGGACAGTGTGGAGGACAAGGAACCTATGCAGGTTCAATGATAACAGCTTCTGTTTTGATAGTCTGGTGAAAGAGATTCTGGTTCACAGTTGGAGGTGGTTGTCATCCTTCACAAAGACTTTCCAGTATACTTTTTCACAATGGTGCAGCAATCCTGGTCTATGCTTATGTAGATTAGGGGCTTGATGTGTTAGTGTAGGTGGAAGACAGCTACGATGGGAGTGGGGTTTATAATAGAGCAGTAGTAAAGGGTTGTGAAGGGGTTACTTCTTTTCTATTTTTTTCTATTCACGGAACTGATGTTTGGTTCTATGTACACTTTTCTGTTTATCTTTTTGGTACCACTGGTACCTTTTCAATGAAATTTTTCTTAGCTGTCCAAAAAAAAAAAAGGTTAAATTTCGGTGCAAGGTAGTATATGTTATACATGCATTGTCCATGCTTCAAGCTCAAAACGCCCTTAATTAAGTGAGATTGCAAAGCATGTTAAGATAAAAGTCATGCACCTAGTAGCTGTTTAGTTTACCATTGAAAGGTTACAAATTCACACTCCATAGAAAAGACAAAAAATTACTTCATAACTTACTGCACTGGAAAGAGGGAATCTCCATTTACATTGATTCCCTATTAGAAGACTTAGTCCTTGACAAATAGCCAGATAAAAAGAATTGCATGCATGGGAAAATAAACAAGATGAAATTAATTAGCCAAGACCAATTACAATTGCATTGTTTCTATTAAACTTGTCAACATGAGCAACATGATTCAAGAACTCAAATTATTCAAATACTTGTGCCTAGATGATGCCAACATTTCCAAAGGCTCTATTGGTCATTTAAAGGAAAAGACTTCGATCGAACAAATAAAAGAGAAAAAAAAAAAAACAGGAAACATTAATTGATCTGTAAACCTTCTAAATCTGAAATTTCCCCCAAAAGAGATGGCAAATATTATCCCCATGAGATAGAACCAATCTCTTTGAAAAGTAATGATTTGTTGATCCCATTCAGAAGAAATCCATAAAGCCTTATTTATCAAAAACCAAAGACATCAACATCCCATCACTATGGAATTATACACATAGCCCCTTGATTCTCTTCTGGCAAGCAGGTTCCAATGTGGTGCACCGTCATCTGGTACCCAAGAATTAATTTCAAACGCCGTTTTACCCAGACCAATAACAACTAGTTGATCTCCACATGCCCGAAATTCTAATCCCCAACCATTCAAAGAGGTTGCTCCCTCAGGAAGGCTTCCAATGGTGACCCATTTGTTCCTCTCTTTAACATATCTCCTTACTTCCCACTGTAAGTAATTTGCAGCATACAATACATTATTTACAACTGCAACCAAAGGAGGTGCCTCAGTAATGAATATTCTCTCAGCCACCCCAACTTCTCTAGTTTGAGGAGGGAACATGTTGGGTATTTCGCGCCATTTTCTTGTCTTTAAATCAAACTCCTCACCACATGTTAGCTGCATTGTACGGCCTTCTCCAATCCCACCAAGGACATAAAATTTCCCATCCATAAAAACACCAGAACACATCTTCCTAGCTTTATTCATGTTTGGAAGAGTCTCCCACGTTTTGGTATTTGAGTTATAAAGCTCAACTACACTCAAGATCTTGCTGCGATGATCACAACCACCAGCCACTATGGCAATTTCTCCAAGGCTAGCAGATGCAAACAAGCGTCTAGGAACATTCATTTCTGGGCCAGATAACCAGGAGTTTGTCAAAATACTATATCTATAAACAACACGAGTCATTCTTTCCCTTCCAAAAACAAGAAGTTCCATACCAACGGCCAACGACTCCTTATCTATACTTATAAAGCATTGATTAGAAGCCATTCTAGGCACGTGCATCCAACGACCACGATTTGGATCAAATGCCTCACATTCAAGGATGTCACAAAAGAAGTAAATCCAATATTCTACGATACCCATTTTTCGCCTGAGCTGATACAGTTCTCCAGTCCGAATGACAGATCGAAAAGTTCGGTTCAATGAGGCAATTGATCCGTAATCAGATCTTGACAATCGTAGGAGACAACTCATGGAGATGTCTCGGCCTAGTTGGGGAATAAGCGAAGGTGAGTGATTTTGATCATTCCCTTGGTACTGGAAAGGGATTAGAGAAGTCATATCCACCTTCGTATCCTCCTCATCCTTATGATCATCTGAAATTTTGGACAACTTTCTAGACACAACTTGCTTTTCATCTCCTTCTGGTTGGCGCTTATTGTTTGAGAGATCCATCGAGTGAAAAGTATTGCAAACGAATTGGTTCTCCTGCTTACACGAGTTTCGCTCGTCCGTTGAAACCCTAAAGGATGAACTCCACTGTTTTGAATGGAAATGATGAACCTAATTATCACCAAAAGAAGAAAAGCGATTGGTTTCCTTTCCATCAAAAAATAAAATTGCATATCAATTAACCAGTTAAACAACAGTGATTCTGACTCCACTATGTCAAAAAATTCTCGCTACCAACGTATGCCATAGTCATCAAATATAAAGAATACCCTTAACAAACATGCAAATATCGTATCAAATGAATGGAAAACCACAGAGAATATAACACTCAAAATTTTCACGAACCGAGTTATGTTTGGATAAAAGTTGGGAACATACTTTTTTAGTGGTGACCCAGAACAGGAATATAGATAGCAACAAAAAATGGAGCAATTCACCAGATAAAAAAAAATCAATCAAAAACGAACAAGCTGAAAACGACGAAGAGAGATAATTGGAACTTTGGAAGAAAAGCTTACGAATTTAGAAGGAGCTAGAAAGCTCAACTGGGTATTTTGCAGTTTTGTGGAGCTTATGACTCCCTCTCTCTAAGTCAAAAATATATACGAAGCTATTCCTTCTGAATCCTCTGAAACTGTCCAACAGATCGAGTAGATTCTCACTGATTGTTCAATGTTATGTCTCTTTCAATGCTATCCTTTATTTATAGTACAAAAGAAATAGATAAATAATCAAATAATAATTTAAATAATAGCATAATAATGATAAAAAGAAAGCTTGCAGGGTCCACGTACTGTGACCGACTGAGAAGTGTATAATATGAATGCATAGAGTTACCGTTTATTGATGTGCTCAAACCGCCAACGGCGGTTCTGGCACGTGTTTGTTGCAAATGCCATGCATAGCAGTTCTTCAGGGTTTGTTTTTTTTTTTCTTTTTGCTTTCTCTCTCTTTTTTCCATATTTTGCTTTTGATTCCCAACTCAGCAACTGCTTTTATGTACTTAACGTTCTTTGTCTTTGTCTTGCCTTACTTATTACTCCATTATAAATAATGCAGGGAACCTTTATCATTAATAAGGCGAGTTTTTTTATTACATATAATTTACTTTTTCTTTGACTGTGCATTCACACAACATAAAGAACTATTAATAATATCCGAAAATATTATTTAATTATATATGAATATTATTAATTTATTTTTGTAATATATTGTCAAAATGTTGTATATATTTCATATTATTAAAGATCTTTAATAATATTTTTAGATAATTAACTAATATTTGTCAAATATTATCAAGACGATATTTTTATAACATTTTAATGATGTTGTTAAGTTTTTCTTTTTTTAATTTTATAAATAATATTTAGTTTTAATATAGATGTTGTTATCGATTATTATATTTTATGTCTTATAAATTCTTATAAGTTCTTAAAAAGAAGGTTGAAGACACTCTTAAACATAATTTTAAAAATTGGATCGGTCATCAAACTGGTTAAAGTACTGAGTTAGTGGGTCAAAAGTTGAATCGGTAGGTTACTAATTGAACCGCATGACTCAATTTTTATTAATTTTTCTAAAAAAATATTCATGTTAAATATATTTTATACTTATAAATTTTAATAAATTCCTATCTTATCTTAAATTTCAATTTTATCTTATTTAAAATTATCTTTATTTTTATTTTGTATAAAAAATATAAAAAAAATATTTTAAATTTTTTTTGTTGAACTGGTTTGACCCACCGGTTTACTAGTTGAACCGGAAAACTGACCAGTTCTCGGTTTAAAACGGGTTGAATGCATAACCGATTCAACTCAAAATTCGGACCGGCTGGACCATTAGTTCTCGGTTCAACCGGTCCGACCGAACGGTCCGATCCAGTTTTTAAAACATTGCTCTTAAGTACTCATCACTGATCATATATCAAAGTTCATTTAACTTAAATATAATCATATGATTATATATATTTTTTATGAGTTATTATTTACTGAGACTTTAATTACGAGAAATAATTAGATATAATAAGATGAGTATACGTACTCTTTATGTGATATTTTTTTATTCAGTATGAGACTTTAACTTTAGAAGCAATTAAAAAGAATAAATTGAGATTAAAAAAAAAGTTATTACTTGTCTATAATTACATTTTTCAAAAGATCTTGCAAAATAACATATGTGACATTTTTTTATTCGATATAAAATTTTAATTTTAAAAATAATTAAAAAATAAAAATATTACTTTATTTATTGTAACACTTTTAAAAAATATATTATAAAATAATTTATTTATTTAATATATAATAATATTTTAATAAATATAACTAAGAAATAAAATATAGTAGTGTCACTCGCTCATCACACTTTAACCTCCTGACTCCTAAGATAAAGTAATCATGGAACTTTAACCTCCTAACTCCTAAGATAAAGCAATGGAGAATTCTTTGATTATATGATGGCCACACACGCATGAATGTTTTTTTTTTATTTTTTAGAGTGGGTCAAAAATCGACTCAAAGTAACAAAAATTGACATAAAAGTATATTTATTATCCATCATTTGTGAATTTTTTAATTGATTCTAATTAAGTTGATACTAATTTTTTTATCGATCAAACTGTCAAAAAATAAATTTTTTTAGTCAATTTATTGTTAGTATAGCTAATATTAACTTAATAATTTTATTTATTTTAATTTTTTATTATCAGTTTAGTTGATACTAAGTCAACACACTAACATAATAATTTTATTTGTTTTAATTTTTTATTGTAGGTTAAGTCAACACTACGTTGATACTTGATATTAACTTAATAATTTTATTTATTTTAATAATTTTATTATTGACCTAGCCGACACAAAATTTATTTTATTTTTTCCTAATTTTTTTTCCAGTTTACCATTTATTCGCTTGTACTTTTTTTAGCTTACCATTTATTCACCTAAACTTAGCATTGCCGAGACTCGATCATGAACCCTTAATGTATTAAGCTTGATAACCAACTACAACACGACACATTATGAGTATATAAGATTGGACAAAATTATCTTTATCTTTCTCAAAACATGTATAATATAAAAAAATTGACATTATTTTTTAGATGTAGTGTCAACTTTTTCGATATTAAATTTAAATTAAGTTTAGTATGAAAAAACTGACACTATTTAAATATAGTGTTGACTTTTCTAAACCTAATATAAATTAAGTTTAGTGTCAGAAAAGCCGACACTATATTTAAAGAATAACATCAACTTTCTCGATACTAAACTCAATTTAAATTTAATGTTGAAAAAATCGATACTACATCTTAAATTAACTGACATTTACGCCAGTTATTGATCGACGCTTTTTTTTTTATTTATAGATATTTCAATATTTTCTTGTTGTGATAGTACATAATGCTATTAAAAACTTCCCATTGTCTATCAACCGGTAAAACTAGCACTGATTTTATTGAATAAAATCTATACATGCTGTTGAATATGATCTTGATTTTGTGTGTTGCATATTGTTAATTTTCTTTGAGATTGGATTTTAATTAGAATTTTGTCAATCATGCTCTGACTCTAATAGTTTTGCAGTCCTTGTTACTTGTTTTGAGGTAAAGCTTGTAGTTGAGATATGCTGTTTTGAACTGTTTTTTCTAAAGTATTCAAGTTTTGCTCCAACGCCTGTGGTGGTCTCTCTGGTATTTCCGCAATACGAGAATGAATTTATTACTAATACTTTGGTTGTTGTAGGCTTCAAGGCAGTATTACGAAGTATTTATAATGTTTATGTTACTGTTTGTGTCAGTTAAATGACGGAATCATAATGTAATTAAGGCCTGCTTTCAACTAGGGTTTCATACAGTGTAGATTCTGTAGAATCTTCTCATGCTTTACTTACATTTCAAGTGTCAACCTTGCAAGTTCACAAGGTTATGTTATGATCATGAATTATGAATTATAGATTTTATTTTCTGGATACAAGTTCTTGGCAGCAAACGAGACTGGTTCTTGCGAAGGATGAAGAAATTTAGACGCTGTTTAATACACGGTAATACTGTATTCAGTTGCGTGATTTAAACTGATTTTGTCAAACTCAATCGCGATTAGTTTGGGCATTTTAAGTAGGGACTGTGAGTAGATCTCAATGCTGTTTGAGTTTGCGACTGAGTATATTTAAAATTAGTTTTAATTGCTAATTTAAAAAACGATAAATTTAAAAGAAATTTTGATCTTTAATGGAAGAATTTAAATATATTTTATCCTTATTTTTTGTCTAGTGCTTATTTCATTTTTATTATTATCACTGCAATAAATGTTAGATATAATAATATAAAAAAAATATTATTATAAATTTAAAATATATAAATATAAATTTATTTAACATATAATAATACAAAATTTAAATTTTGATTCTGAATTAAATTTAATGATATTATGTATTAAATATTCATTCTGTCCCACAATTAGTACTTCAGTTTTTAGAAAATGTCCCAAAATATATATTCAATGAATGATGTTTTAAATTTAAAGTATAATATTAATTTTTTTTATTTGTTTCTTTATGAATTATTTAATTACCATAATAATAAAAAATACATATAGTGAGAGTACGTATGACTAAAAATTTGAGTAAAATTATATCAAATAATAGTGATACATTTATTGTTGTTATTGATTTGTGTGTCAAAGTCTAAACTAATAGTTATTATGAGAAAGATTAAGTATAACTTTTAGTAGTGGCATAAGTGGACCATGAATTCAGCCTATTCAAATTAGTCCAATTACATTTTTGCAAGTTAATTTGGGTAATTTTTTTCCTTAATTTATTATAATTGAGATAGATAACAGGTCAAGAAATTTGCAATCTAATGAACTCAAATCAACTTGACCTATAATAATAATAAATTATTAAATTAAATTAAAAATATTACACATAGTACAACACATAATGATCTTTAAATGGACTTATATTGAACTTTGCCTTGAATCAATGTACACAAATTAAAGAAAAAAAACTAGAATTGAAAAAGACATGAGATTAAAAAAATAATTTAATTCTACTTGTATTTAATTTAAAATTTGTTATGTTAACATCATAATATTTGTTTGTTTAAGATGATTGCGAGTTCTCTTATGATTCTTATAATGTTGTTTGTACTTTAAATTATATATTAAAATTAAATTAAATATATTTTTTATTATTTTAATTTTTTTAAAATGTTTAACTTAACTTTATTGTAGTTGAGTTGGATTGAGTCACTTAAAAGAAAATTTACAGACAATTCAATCTAACTTGATTAAGTTTGACTGAATTAAATTCAAATATATATATATATATATAAATCTACTATTAATGCATGATTAACAATGTCAGAAGTATGGTTAATTTTGGCTCACAAGTGATTAAAAAATTGTCATTGAATTATTAACCCTCACATATGATTAACAATGTACATATAAAACTGATTAGTTTTACATAATAATAATAAGTAGTAGTTAACATTGTCATGAAGTTATTAAAATATTTAATAGCAGTAACTTGACTTTATAAGTGTTTAATATTTGTTAAAATATTTAACAGCAGTAACTTGGCTTTATAAGATTACATTGAAAATTATATAAAATTATATTTATTTACTTGTAACCACTTTTTTTTTTACACCTACTTTTAGCCACTTATGAAATAAAATTAATCATATTTTTTTATGAATTTGGATCTAGTGGAATGTTTATCGATACTCATTTTAATTAGTCTCAACATCTAAACTCTTTTTCATACAAGATAATCACCATAAATGTAATTAAAACTTAAATTATGCATTTTGTCATGTATTTGGATTGTGATAGCAGATATAATTCATATTTGTTAATTTCATACAAATCTTATTCTATATCTAGATAATTATTTTTATTTTAAAAAATATACTTTAGCCAAGCTTGTTGATTTTTCTATGTAAAGTTCATTACAAGATATGCAAATTATTAAAATACACAAACAAATTCAATGATTTCCTTCGAAAACAACCTTCTTGTTTTGTAGATGAATTAATCTTAAAAGATTGTAATCCATGAATGTTCTCTTTACCAATCCTATCTTGATAGTCTTCAAATTACTTAATTACTTCAAACCAAAACAAATATAATTTGATTGATGTAAGACTCCATCCATATGTAAATGTGAATCACACAATAAATTCTAACAAAAAGCATCAATAATACAAAAGAAATAAGGAAACTAGGTTTCAAAGAGAATTTACAAGATTCAATGCTAATAAGCTGAATTAAAATAATTTTTTCTAAAGTCAATGTCATCAAGTGCATGAGTAGTGAGTTTGTGAATCTAGTCTTTTCTACTACTTAACAAAATTCATCTGTTAATGCAATACCCTCATGGAATTAACATAAACATATAGACCTGATTTGAAATTTAGAAAACTATATCACCATCACTAACTAAATATGATAATAAGGCTTTTAGAAGTTTACATCCATGTTGAGACAAAAAGAGAAAAATGGTTAGGCGAAAAATTAAGCACAATTATTGTACCGAGTCTGGAGATCCTCATATAATAATTCAAGCAAGAACAAAATGCAAATCACAGCTCGTCAGTTACCAACAATTAATGAAGTCTTTGGAGGTGTAAGCGAAAATTTGCAGGCACTTTAATTAGTTAGACAAGCCTTAACAATTATAACAAAGAATAAGCTAACAATCATTTATCATTTGACATACTCATATACTTCATTTGCTTCACACTTGCCATTTTTCTATATCTTCATAGTTTATTAATTAGGATAACATCCTCCTCTTAAATGAAACTTACATGATCTTAAATATAGAAAATATAACTAATATAAGTCGTCTTCATGTACCAATACAAAGATAAAAATGCATGCATGCATACACACAAAAGAAACGAGAGCATATTCCCGCTTCAAATTTCCAGAATATTTGTCTTGTTGAATAAGAAAAAACACATTCTCTCGTGTCAAGTTCGTTGAATTACAAATCTTTTTACACACACAAGAAAAAAGGCTCAGTAGAAGATTAAAAGCCTTGCCTATTTGCCTTATTAACGTATCATGTAGTGTAACATATAATTTCTTGGTTTTTTATGGTTAAGCATATTAAAAACAGTCTCATAAGTTGCTTAGTTGTATAGACTAAAAAGCCTTGATTATTTTCAAACAGAATGATACATCTTGTATGAGAAACTAAACATTATTATCTTTAAAAAAATGTTAAAATACTTTTACAAAATAGTGTTTCTTGAATAAAAAAAATAGAAAACGTATGTATAGAAATGCAACAAATATATTTTAGTTTTAACTATACATATAATACAAGAACAAGACAATGAACGTATATTTTGTTTAAAAAAAAATAAAACAAATCAATGCACCAATCTATAAATATATTATAGCTACAACTAATCCTTATAATTTCAAGAGGGATGACGATTGTAATTCATTCTACCAGAGGTATAAGGACAAAATTGATAAGAGAGGCTTAATTGGAAAACTATTAAAATAAAAGACACAGAGAAAATGTTATTCCTACTTTTTTTTCTCGTCTTTTTTACAAGATAGGATGAGAGAGGTGAAGCAATGAGAATGTAAACAGGTTTGGGTAGTATGTGTCATACACACTTCATCAGACTCAGAGCCCTTAAATGAAAGTGCAAGGCATGTTAAGATAAAGTCATTCACTTAGCTAGTAGCTTCAGCTTTTAGGAGAGTTAAGTCAGTCCTTTAAATGTAGCTAGACAAAAAGAAGAATGTGAAAGTAAACAAGATGAAACCAAGATCGATTACAATTCTGCATTGCTTAATCTAATTGAACTAATGAAAATGTGCAACATGTACCAAAAACTCAAATAAGTCAAATACATGTGCCTACATGATGCCAACCTTTCCAAAGAAAAAGACTCAGACCAACTACAAAAGGAAAAAAAAAAAAAAAAAAAACGCATCAACTGATCTATAAACCTTCTAAATTTTAGCAATGATTTTAAATAAGACCTTAAATTTCCCCCAAAAGAATTTCCCCCATGAGCTACATATCTCCTTGAAAAGTAAAGAATTGTTAATTCCATTCAGAAAAAATCCATAAAGCCTTATTCATCAAAAGCAAACACTTCAACATCCCATCACTGCGCAATTATACACAAAGCCCCTTGATTCCTTAATTGCAAGCAGGTTCCACTGTGGTGCATATTCATCTGGGATCCAAGAATAAATTTCGATCTGCGTTACATCCAAAGAACTAGGTCCACCAATAATAACTAGTTGATCTCCACATGCCCGAAATGCCAATCCCCAACCATTCGTAGAGGTTGGTCCCCTAGGAAGCCTTCCAAGGGTGACCCATCTGTTACTCTCTTTGACATATCTCCTTAGTTCCCAGTGTCCATAATCTGCAGCATACAAAACATTTTTCACAACTGCAACCAAAGGAGGTGCCTCACTAATGGCTTTTCTCTCAGTCGCTCCACCTTCGCTACTTCTTGGTGGGAACATGTTGGGGATTTCACGCCATTTTCTTGTCTTTAAATCAAACTCCTCACCACTTGTTAGGTGCTTTGTTTGGTCTTTTCCAATCCCACCAAGCACATAAAATTTCCCATCCATGAATACCGCGGAACACATCTTCCTAGCTTTGTTCATATTTGGAAGAGTCTCCCACGTTTTGGTGTTTGAGTTATAAAGTTCAGCTACACTTAAGATCTTGCCGGATGGATCACAACCACCAGCCACTATAGCAATCCCTCCAGTGCTAGCAGATGCAAACAGGAATCTAGGAATATCCATTTTTGTACCATCAGACCATGTGTTTGTCAACATGTTATAGGTGTAAACAACTTGAGACAGTAGCCCCCTTCCAAAAACAAGAAGTTCCGTACCAACGGCCAAGGACTCCTTATCTGAACACATGAAGCATTGATCAAAAGGCATTCTAGGCAAGTGAATCCAACGACTGCGATTCGGATCAAAACACTCCCATTCAAGGATTTCACAAGAGAAGTAAACCCAATGTTCTACAACACCCATTTTCTGCCTGATCTGATACAGTTCTCCAGTTCGAACGAGAGATCGAAAAGTGTGATTCAATGAGGCAATTAATCCATAATCAGATCTTGACAATCGAAGGAGACAACTGATTGAGATATCCCGGCCAAGTTCGGAAATAAGCGAACTTGAGTTATCAGACATTACAGCTGAATGACTTTGGTCATTCCCTTGGTCCTGGGAAGGGATAAGAAAAACCCTATCATGCACCTGCGTATCCCCCACCTCAACATTATCTGAAAGTTTTGGCGACTTTCTAGACACAGCTTGCTTTTCATCTCCTTCTTGTAGACATTCATTGTTTGAGAGCTCCGTCAAACTCCTTTGGTTCTCCTCCTCACGTGAGTTTGTCTCATTTGTTGAAACTAGCATCGATGAACTCTCCACCATTTTGAATGGAAATGATAGGCCTGATTACCAAAGGAGAAAAGAGACCGGTTTCCTATCCATAAAAAATTAAAATTAAATATCAATTAGCCAATTGAGCAAGAGCGATTCTAACTAGTTGGAAATGTGCCTTTAGATGCTATTAAAGTAGTTTTGATTTTTAATTTGAATAAGTCAATTAGTTATTTAATAAAAATATATTATTGCATTGTTAGTGGATCAATTAGTTTTAGATTTTATTCTTAATTATTATCAAAAATTCATAAAATTAGAGTATGGTTATTTATTCAATTATTTCAATGTATTTAAATATAAGTCATTTTTAATAAAATAAGGTACGCTTTGTATTAAAAAAACATAGTTACATTGTTTCCTTATTCAGTTGATTTTCTCTATCTTAAAACTAAAATCAACAATTGGTATCTAGAGTTTTTCTTCTTAAAAAGGATCGACTTAAATTGAGAGCCTACTAGATACACTCCAAAAATCATAATGAACATGCAAATCGAAAATCTAGTTGTTGCACCTCTAGTACCAAATTTGAAAACTTAAGATGCAATCCTATTTAGAAGTCGTAGATCTTTGGAAAACTATGGAGGAGGGTTATGCAATTCCTACTTTACCATATAACTCTACAATTTCTCTAATTAAAATTTAGAAAGAACAGAAGCAAAGGAAAGCAAAGGTCAAATCGTGTTTATCCAATGTCATGTCACAAGGGATTTTCACTAGAATCATGATGATAAAGTCAGCTAAGTGATATGAGATTTTCTCAAAAAGGAATATGAAGAAGGAAAGGGTCAAAGGAATGAAAGCTCTCAACTTGATCAGGGAGTTTGAAATGCAAAGGATGAAGAAGTCAAAAACTACGAAGGAGTATTCTAATTGACTTCTCAATATTGCAAATCAAGTTAAATTATTTGGCCAAAAGTTTGAAGATTCTAGAATTGTCCAAAAAATTCTAGTTACCCTTCCTGGAAGACTTGAGTCCACAATCTCTTCTTTAGATACTTTTAAAGATTTGACAACTATTTCCTTGGTAGAAGTGTTGAATGTTTTACAAGCTCAAGAGCAAAGAAGACTCATGAGACAAGAAAACACAATTGAAGGAGCTTTGCAGGCAAAATTGCATATCAATCAAAGAACAAAAGAAAAGAAGAAATGGAGTGAAGATCATGAAGATAGTTCAAAAGGTAGATCAAGATATCTACCATGTCGACACTGCGAAAAGGAAGGTCATCCTCCATTTAGATGTTGGAGAAGACCTGGTGTTAAGTGTAGAGAGTGTAATCAAATTGGGCATGAAGTTGTTATATGTAAAAACAAGAATCAACCACATGGTGAAGAGGCAAAGGTTACTAATCAAGTGGAGGAGAATTACTTATTTGTCATCACATGTTTCTGTAGCATGGAATTTAATAAAAATTGACTTATTGATAGTGGTTGTAGTAACCACATGACAAACAATAAGAATCTATTCAAGGAACTAAACAATGGAAGCACATAAAAGGTTCGAGTTGGAAATGGCAAGTACATTGTTGTGAATGGAAAGGAACAGTGGTAATCTCAACCTACTCATGTACAAAGTTCATTTCTAATTTGTTGTATGTTCCTAAAATTAATTAGAATTTGTTGGGTATTGAATAACTAGTTGAGAAAAATTATAAAAAAAATTTCAAAAAAAAAGTTGCTAGATTAAAGATGAAACTGACAAAGATATTTTCAAAATAAAAATGAGAGGAAAAAGTTTTGCTTTAAATATTGGAAGAGGAGGAGGAGGAGCAAATTATTTTTCCAATAAAAGAGAATATCACTAAATTATAGTACAAGAGGCAAGATGCTAAAGAAGAATAAGCTAGTTTTAAAATACCAATCCCAAGTCCTAGAGTGGTGATGTTGAAGCAAAGTTGGGAACAATAAAGGAACAAACTCAATTGTCATAGAGAAAGCAAATGACTGGAAGCAAAAGTATGATATTGCCATGAAAGAAGAAAAATTCTGCTTTAGAGAAAGTAACTATTATATAGGAGTGCATAAATAAGCAGGTATAGTTAAGGGAAAATGCGTAAGAAATTTTTTTTTTTAAACTTTAGCTAGAAGAAAAAAAGATGAAATAAAGGATAAAATTCCAAAAAAAAAATGAGCTTTATGAGAAGTGTTTAAAAATTATTAATTTAGAGTTGAAGGTTGTTAAATCAAAGATATGGGGTTATGATACAAAAATATTATCAATGAGATTTGAAGTTAAAGAATTGACTAATATATTGAAAATTGAAAGTTCTAAAGCTCAATCATATGAGAGAGAAGCAATATTATTTCAACAAAAGAAGAGTTTTCTATAACAAAAGATTGGAGTGTTAATAACTTCACCAAGTCATTCTAAATCAGCAAGTAAAATTTTAAAGGAGAAAAATAGGAGTTTATAACCTTTAAGACAAGGAAACATGTTGAAAATATATCTTTAAATATTGTCAAAGTAATTTTAATTTTTAATTTGAATAAGTCAATTAATTATTTAATAAAATTATGTTATTGTGTTATTAATGGATCAATTAATTTCATATTTTACTCTTCAGTTATTATAAAAACTCTTTAAATTATGAAATATGATTTTTTATTTAATTATTTTAATATATTTAAATATAGATCATATTCAATAAAATAAAATATACTTTACATTAAAAAATAATGTTACATTATTTTTTTATTCTATAATTTTTCTCTATTCTAATACTAAAATCAAACGTATCTCTACTATGTCAAAAATTCTTATTACCCACATATGTCATAGTCATCAAATATAAAGAATACCTTTTTTTATATAAGATAAAGAATACCCGTAACAAACATGCGAATGTCATATTAATTGGAAAACCACAAACTAACATAACACCCTAAAGATTCACTAATTAATTAGGCTATGTTTGGATAAAAGTTGGGTACATACTTTTTTTAAATAAAAAAAAATTCAATGCATATTTCCAAATTCCAAGGTACAAAATGAAGAATGAAAAATTTACTACTTTAAGAATTAATAAAAGTACTTTTTAACTCTCCCAACCAACTGCCGACCAAACATACACAACTTTTTTTTTAACACGTGGGTACAAAAATGTATGTAGAGTTACACCTCAACGCTTCCAGAATTTAGTAAATTCACACAGAAATTACAGACATGGCCATGATCAACCAACACCAGTCTGCCACGAACGATAATCACAAGCGAAACAATAAATAAAACCCAATCAAACAGCCCCCAAATTTGAGATTTTTTAATATCGAGATTTTTTAATATCGGATATTTAGTGGTGACCCAGATCAGGAATCTAGTTAGCAACGAAAAAAAAAATGGAGCAATCGTGTGAAATCATCAAATAAACGAAATTCAATCACACGACAACGTACATATATATCCAAATAAAAAGACTCCACCATCCCCTTAAAAAAAAATTTAAAAAATTTTTAAAAAAATAGTTTTTAAACGACCACGTATAATTTGCAATGGTAGAGATCCCACCCCCACACACGAAAAATATATAAACATAGCCATGCAAGAAAAAGCTCGAAAAAAATATATACATAAAAACACGAACAGACTGAAAACGACGAAGAGAGCGACTCGGAAGAAAAGCTTACGAAGTGGGTATTTTGCGGTTTGTGGAGCTTGTTATGAGTGATGGGTCTCTCTTTCTCTCTCTAAATCTATATATGAAGCTATTCTATTTCTTCATCCTATGAAACTGTCTGACAGAGAAGATTCTCACCAATGTTCAGTGTTGTTGTACGTCTCTATCAATAGTACTATCCTTTATTTATAGTACAAAAAAAAATAGATAAATAATCAAAATAATAATAAAAGAAAGGTTGTAGGGTCCACCGTGAGTGACAGTGGGTACGTAAAATGTGATGCGTAGCAATGAGTCATCGTTTACAGAGGTGCTCAAACGGCCAACGGCCGTTTCTGGCACGTGTTTGTTGCAAATGCCATGCATAGCTGTTCTTTAGTTTTTTTTTCTTTCTTTTTCCTTCTCTCTCTTTCTTTTTTCCATATTATGCTTTGATTTCCAACCCAGCAATTGTTTTTTTATGCATTTAACGTTGTTTTTCTCTTGCCTTACTTATTACTCGATTATAAATAGTTAATACTTTTTCTTATTTCTTCCGCCATTTTCAATCTCTAATAAATATGATAACTGGGGTTTCAAAGAGGCAGTTACTACTCGATTATAAATAATCTAGGGAACGTTTATCATCAATAAGAGTTTTTTTTATATTACATATAATTTAGTTTTTCTTGACTGTGAATTCGATGACTCGACACACTTTAACCTGCTAAGATAAAGTAAAGGAGAATTCTTCAAACAATCTCATCCTAATTATTTACAAAAAAAAATAGTTAAAGACTGTAAACAAGGTTGAATATAACGAGTGAAAAAAAAAATGTAGATATATTTTTAATCCTTAAGTAGTTTTGCGTAATTTGATTTAGATTAGTCGAAATTTACTATAACTTTTTAAGATATTAATTGTCTTGTTCTATAAACAATTGTATCCTCAACATCTAGTTAAGTAAAACAGAAAATATTATACAAAAAATGATTAAAGTATACTTATAGATTCTATCGACTTAAAATGTATAAATTAATTTTAACTTGTAAGAAGTTTGATTAGTTTTACATTTTTTCTTATAAATATTTATTAAAAAATTTATTCAAGTATCCAAATATTATTGGGGGTAGTCTCAAGGTTTGTAGGTTTGAATCTTACTACCATCATTGTAATTTTAATAGATAAAAAAGACTAAGTTTATTTTCTTATTTTTTTATACTTAATTACATTTTTGATCCTCTAGTATTATAATTGTGTAATTTTGGCCTTTAAGATTCTAATTAAATAATTTTAGTTTCTTAAATATCACAATTATACAATTTTTGATCAAATAGAGAGATTAAAACCAAATAGAAAATTTTAAACTTAGAGGGTTATCGACAAAGATGTGAAACTAAACGTTTATGAAAAAATTTGTGAAAATATTTTATTAGAGTTTGGTGAAAGACTCTTTTTTCATATAAAAAAGAAATTACTATAAGTTTCATACTTGTGTATGAGAGTGAATAGTAAAAAATTTTAAGTGTAAAATTAGTTTTTATCCTAAAACTTATCTTAACCCTCAAATAATTAATATTTTAAATTCAAAAAAATTCATGTTAATAAAAGTGATTTAGATGCTAAAGTAATCTATTTTAACAGCAAAAGTTCACAGTTTAAAAAAGAATTAAAAATAGGTATTATATAAATTTTGGAGGACTAAATTCAATAAAATAAATTTTGAGAGATTAAAACCAAATAGTTAATTTTTGGGGAACCAAAAACATATTTAATCATATTTAGTATTACTAAAATTGCTAATACATGTAACTTAAATAAGCAAAAATTCTATAATTGTGATACTTGAGAGACTAAAATTACACAACTGTGGTACTTGAAGAACTAAAGTTGTTCAATTTAAAATTGAGGACTGAACTTGCACAACTATGATACTTAAAAGATTAAAATTACTCAATTAAAATTAATTTGAAGGACTAAAATTGTATAATTATTATACTTGAAGAGAAAAAAATACATTTAAACCTACTTTTTATTTTATTTTATTTTATTTTAATAATTTATCTCTTCTTTAATTTATTCAATTTGACTTTTATTCAACAATGCAAGTTATTACTTTTAGTAGTATTGGTTAAATTAAAAAAAAATTCTAGCGATTAAAAATTATCACATTTGACTAGGACTCTCAAAATGGGTCAATTCAGCCCAATTGATCTGACCCCATCTACCCACTTTCTAAATGGGTTGGCTTAATCTAGACCATCAATTTTAATGTTCAAAATTTCTAACAAGGTTTCAACCCACCACGAATTGGTGGGCTAAATGAGTTAGCTCACCAATCCACCTAATTTTTTTTTAAAAAAATTCTAATTTAAAATAAGTTTCAATCTAAAATAACTTCTAATCTAAAATAAAAAATTGTCAAATTAAGTATCATGCATACAAAATTAAACTTAATTATAAAAAAAGTGTACAACTTTAAATAATCAAAACAAAAAGAATAAAAAAATTATTATTTTTGGCATAGTTGTCTATCAATATTAAACTTCATTGAAAACTTAAGTAGATAAATCTATAGCATTTTCATCTTGTTTAACATCAACTTTATCTTCCTCTACAAAAAAATGGTTCATTGTTAATATATATATATATATATATATATATAACAATAATGATTAAGTAAGTCATTGATAGGTTGGATTGATGAGAGGTGTAAATGTGTTAGGTGGACAATCTGTCATACCATGGGTTTAGTCTTGGTGGGCCAAGTCAAAAGTGAATCGAGATGGGTTAGGTTGGCTCGCGAGCTGAACTCCACTTTGAAAATTCTACATTTGTTTAGAAATGGTCAAATCCAAACCCAAGGCAAAAATATAAAAATAAATTGAACCGAGAAAAAATTAAAAGAAAGGTTAAATCGATACTTTTTTTAATTAAGAAAATTGAGACTTTATATAAATATAAAAGATCAAAATTATAATTTAACCTAAAAATTAGTTAATATTTATACTTTTTTTATGAACTATATATATCATTTATAGGAAATAATTTTACTTGAATCAAATAAGATTATGATCAATGAAATAAAAGGTCAACAAATATTTAACATAGTTGTATGCTAAAACACTAAAATTAATTTGAAATAAATCATTTAATAATTAAAAGTATTTAATATATTCATTTAATAATTACATTTTACTAATTCAAATTATTTAATACATTCATTTGCTAATCAAAAGAAATACATTCATTTAATATTTATATTTAATAATTAAAGCTATTTAATATACTCATTTAATATTTATATCTAATAATTAAGATTATTTAATATAGTCATTTTAATATATTTTTAAAAAAATCAAAAGATACATTAAATATTTCCTAAGTAAGGTAAAAAGTAGTAATCTTTTATAGAAAAATATTAGGCTTAATTGCAGTTTTGATCCTTCAAGTATTGTAATTGTGCAATTTTGATCCCTGAAGTTTTAATTAGGTAATTTTAGTCCCTAAAGGATTGAAATTGTGCAGTTTTAGTCCTTTAATTTTTAATTGAACAATTTTAATCCCTCAAATATTATAATTGTGCGATTTTAATCTCTCTTATTAAAAATTTAATAATCTTAAATTTTTAATATATATATATATATAATATATTAAAATTATATAATTATTTGCTTATTTAAGTTAACGTATATTGTAATTTTTGTTAATGTAACAAATAATATATATTTATTATTACTAAATAAATAAAATTTATATATTATTAATATTTTAATATTGCTAATAAATTAATATCAATAATATTTTTAGTATATCTATAGATAAACTAATAATTTGATAAATATAACTTAGTATATATTAATATACTTTTACAAAAATATAAATATATTAGACAAGAATCATAAGATATATTTATATTTTTACAAAAGTATAGTAATATATAATAAGTTATATTTATCAAATTATTAGTTTATCTATAAATATATTAATAATATTATTTATATTAATTTATTAGTAATATTATAAAAATAATAATATATAAATTTTATTTATTTAGTAATAATAAATATATATCATTTGATACATTAATGAAAATTATAATATATGTTAACTTGAATAGACAAATAATTGTATAATTTTAAAATATTGTATATATATATATGTACCGTCCCGGTCAGAATCCGACTTGACCCTTGTCTTGACTGAGAACCACTCGGCCTACAACCGGGTTAACATCTCTATGCGAGCCGATTTACTCCTACATCGACTCCACTCGCTTATAAGAGGGTCACTCGGCGCGTACCCGACTAGA